CATGGATGCTGATCCTAAAAAAAGACCAACAGCAGATGAAATTTTAAAAATTATTACTTTTTGGAAAGATGCAATTGCTATTGATGATGATGATGGGGATGAAGATCTAAAATTTAATATCCTAAAAAAAGACCAACAGCAGATGAAATTTTAAAAATTATTACTTTTTGGAAAGATGCAATTGCTATTGATGATGATGATGGGGATGAAGATCTAAAATTTAATAAACCTACTTATTCTAAAGAGCAGCTTTATGAATTAGAAAAATTGAGAAAAATATTTAAGGAAGCAGATAAAAAACCATTTAACCCTTCAACAATTTCAGCAATTGTTCATCCAAGTGCTATTTATACAAGTAGATTATTGAATTTTACAAATCTTCCTCAACCTGTAAATTCCAATAAAGTTACAATTATTAGTAACAATAATGGTAATTATCTAATTTATTGTTATATATATTTAACCTTAATGATTTATTATTAATGATATTTTAAATTATATATTTTAAATTATAGAATCTAAACAAATTGATTTAACTATGCCAGATTCTAAACAAATTGAATTAACTATACCAGAATAAACCATTGGAATTTTCACTTAGTCTCTTAGGGGAGTGTTGCATGGTGAACAAACACTCTTGTTAATGTTAAAAAATTTTTCAATGATCAATCAAAGCTTTATATTTTACTTTTATTATAGAATTTTTATATTCAAGCATTTATATATATTGTTTAATATTTTATATATTTTTATTTCAATTTGTATTTTTATCACCTATGGTTGGTTTGGTCTAAAGACCTCCTATTGATGTGCCATGTGCTCAAATTTCAAAAAATATGATTTTGTGATTCATTCAAAAATGCAATAAAATTTTTCAAAAAAGGGTTTCATGTGATTTTGGTTAAAAATTTATTTTCCTTACTGCCAAATTTAGATATGATTATTGAATATTAGTCTAATTTTAGCAATGATCCTGGCGCACATATTCTCATGAGCAAACAGGAGAGACTGTTCTGGTAACACGAAATTTTAACCCATGCAATCGTTCATTGACCAATCAATCGTGAATTTGATAATGTAAAAATAAATGTTGGTTTGATTCATTTTGTCAACAATCATTTCACCAACAATTGTTACATTGACAAATTGTTCGAATTTAAGAAGTTGGAAGCAACCATGAAACAAACCTTTGAAATGTCTAATAAATTAAATTGTACTACTCAAAAATGTATTTAAAGTGTTAGTTTTTGACTTGGTTGAAGAATAACTCTCTTCTCAACTCTTCTCTTAACCATATCTCTCAATATAATCAAAATAGCCTTAATATAATGAATGTCAATGAAATGATTATAAGCACAACCAATTTAAGATATATGATTAAGACAAAACATTAACAATGTATGAAAAAATCAAAAAATTATTTAATAAAAAAAAATTTACAACCCAAAAAATGTTTTTTTTGCATGTTCTAATAAAATTTCCATTATTGCTGCATCATCTGTTGCTGATTCAACATTACCCAGATCATCATCAACCATATTTTTGTTATTTTTGATAAATTTATTTTCATTTAATCTTTTTGTCATACTTTCTTTTATTTTGATTTGAAGATAATCAGTCCAAGATATCAAACATTTAGATTGGCATCTTTGTAGACAATGATTGTTATAACCATGTCCACATGTGAGTACACTACAATTATTCAAATTAGCATAGTTGGTGTAATCGCAATTAAGGTTGCCTGCTGAAACCTCTTAGTGACTGTTGAAACTCTATTGAAACTCTAATGAACAATTAGTATATACCTTGTCAAAACTGACAATTGACAAAACCTCCAAATGCGAAACTCTGCCAAAACTTTAATAAATAATTAATGTGTAACCTGTCAAAACTCTGTCAATTGATTTCTGGGGGAGCTTCGCCCACAACCTTAATCACAATATATGTAATTGCAAAAAATGTTTTTAGATGGTTTCCTAGAAGTAACAAAGTTTTAGTAATCAAAGGATACTGATTTCATGCTTGATATAGTGGTGGTATCAGATTGTCTCTGGATGTGAATTTATGATAATCATCAACATTCAATATGAATGCACTTTTTGAATGTTTTGTAAGTGCATTTTATACATATTTCTCATGTTTATCTGTAACTTGCTCTTTTATGATCTACTGCTCTTGATGTTGTGATTGCTCCAAGACTTGTACCTAGGTCAAACTTAAAAGAGTTAATTTTGTATTATTTAATAAAGCAAGAAGATAACATATGAACACCAATAATCTCTTCATATGGTTCATTGTTTGTCCATTACATTCAAATGGCTGAGCTGCTAAATAGAGTTGGTCAAAAAACCCCTTCAAGCTTGGTACTATTTCTTGGAGTAATCTTTGTATTTCATCAAAATCATATATATAGGACCTTCTTTATTTGAGCATTCTCTTTCATAAAAGATTTTGGTCATCATCTTGATGACTCTAGTGAAATCAATCTTTTCACTTACCTCTTCCTCTTCTTCTTCCCCTTCTTCATCTGTGGTTTTTACTCTCCTGGGTCCTCTTTTTAAAGGATTTTCTACATAAAATAACAACTTCTGTCCATATTACCTTCACTAAGTTGTTTGTTCTCAGCTTCTTTTCATTTATTGTCTTTCAGTTGACAAACTTAGGTGATTCGGTGGTTTTTTACATTCTGCAATATTTAATTTCAGGCATTCTTTCTTTGAGTAAATCGTATTATGAAAGTTGTGGGACTCAAAAAATATGATAACAACAAAGTGTAAAGTTTCAAGTTTGTGTAATTATTTATACATGATTTATTGCAAGAATGGGCCATGTAAGACCCTTTTAAACTATAAAAAAAAATGAAATCAATTGTGAAAATCTTTTCCTTATGCAAGACGGCCTCTCCTGTTCGTTACAATAAATATAGAAAAATGATGTAATTTTAAGTGCATCACATGACTACCATTCTAAGTTTGTTCTAATTTGTCAATATTAACTGGGCAATTAATTGGTCCACGGTTTAATTTTAAGATATGTGAGGGGTTATGACCACCAATATTACCAAGCATCTAAAAAGAATATGCAGAAATGATGCAAAATGTTGGGATAATGATTCATCTAAAAGGCCAACTACTAGAAAACTTGCTCATGATTATAAAAGAAAAGTGAAGGTTTAAAATTTCTACTACAAGAAATCCTTTTGATAATAATCCTCAGTCAATTCAAACATCGCATATAATTTTAGCAGAATATTAGATGATGGCATTGCCAAATCAAAAGAATTAAAAACTCATAATTGTTTTTTAAATGATCTTGAAATTTAAATGTTTCCTAATGAAATTTTTAATAATTGTAATAATACTAATAATAGAGGCAAACTATTTTTATTGATTGATATTTTTAATTGTTTAATTAATATTAGATTCCAATGACAATACTAGTGATTCTTGAAGGAAGGGATCAACGATGTTGATGTGATTGATTAATTGGGCAACGGAGTGGATAAATTATCAATGAACAACTAGTATTCCATTATTTGCAGTTACTACTGTAGTTATTATTATATTTATTATTGATTATTTATCATTTATTTATTTTATTTAACATATTAGTTTATATTTTTTATTTGTTAAAATAATTGGAAAACAAATATAATGTATAAAAAAGTAGAAAACAAAACATGCATTAATTAATTATTCTTTTTGTACAGCAAGCACCTTAATGAAACCTTTCTATTATAAACAGAGGCATAAAAAAGTATTTGGGATGAAAGGCTTGCAATAAACGACAATATTAAAATTACTATTATCAAAATATCGAGGATCATTACAAAGTTGACTGTGACAAGCAAAGCTTATTATAGGTAAATTGGAACATTGAAAAAAGTTTATTGTAAATGATTTCCACTGTAATGAACAAAGTTAATTATAGACGAACTTGGACGTTGAAAAAAGTTCGCTGTAACGAGCTTTAACTATATTGAAAAAATACTAACACTAAATATATAATATGCAAATAGAAAAATATTTATTTTTGGATAATGTTAAAAAAAAAATTATTCATTAAGAAATCAGCCCATTACGTTAAATTCTGATGGACATAGTTAAAGCGTTACACGCATTATGTGATGTGAAGAGTATTAAAAAGTACCACTTATGAAAAGTTCGGAATTTGATATAAATTGCTCATAACATCCAAATTTGTTAACGATATACATATTTAATTTCCGTAAACTAAGAAAAAGCCGTGTAAATAGCATTAACCGTTAAATGATATTCTAAAGTATTTTGGTCGGGTCGCTTTAATTATTTTAATTGGTAGATCTCAATGATGTGGGGTTCAATACTCACAAATTAAGTTTAGCGTTTGGGATCTGACAACATTTTTTATAGATCAACATTTTCATGTGTTAATAATATTTAGACTTAATTGAAAAAAAAAATTTTGTATGAAATATATAAATACGCATCGAAAGAAATTTCTTCGGGTGACAGAGTCAAATTTGGTAATTATATTATATTTAAAAAAATTTTTTTTTAAAAATAAAAATTAGCACAAGATTTCCTTCCTTTTCTCTCATTTAAACCAACCCCACTGCCAACCGCCCACCAACCCTCCAACATTATCGCACCGCATGAATTTCTAGCTTGAAAAAAATGAAAAACTCATTATTATTAACATCATTTTACCGCTTAATATTATTAATTATAGGAAATATTTTACTAATATTATTATTATTAAGTAAAGATAATAATGCATTGGCTTTGACAACCACATTAAACGACTTTCCCATTTCTTCATTATCGCCATCAGCAACACAAATACTCACCGATGGAGGCTGTCAAGCGCCATTATTACAAGTTTCCAATAAAACGGACGCCCATATCTGTCTTGATGAATGCTGTCTAGCTTGCCCATATTTAAACAATTTTTATAAAGAGAATCTAATCGACTACACCTACAAAACTTTTTCTGGTTTTGGGATAATTTCATTTTTTTTGATGATTTTATTATGTATTGGTTTTTTGATTTTGCCAAGTCAACGTCAAAATCCTATAACAAAACAAATATTATTACCTTTTGCTCTAAGTATTGCTTATTTCGAGGCTTCGCAGTTTTTCATTATTAATCAGAAACAAACTCTAGTAAATTAATCATATATATATATTTGACTATTTAATTAAATTTTTTTATTTTCGAGAAAACTTTTTAAAAAAACAAATTTTTTTTTAAAAAAAATTAGTGTTTATCTGATAGTCTCACAACTACTGTTCATAATAGTAGTTCGTGTAAGTTTCAAGGTGAATATTAAATTATTAAATTATTAAATTATTATTATCATCAATCGTCATTATTATTTATTTATTTTCGAAAATTTTTTATATATAGCTATTTTTTCACTCGGAGGCGCATATGCTATGGGATATTGGTCGGCAATTTTAATGACACATTTACATATGGTAAAAATAAATATTTTCCCTAAAAAAAAATTTATAACTTCTTTATTAGCTCATTTTATTCACATACACACTTTATAAATAAATACAAGTTATCGATATGGCGTTCTGAATTTATCATGAGAAATATTTATTATTTTCATGGGTTGGCTTGGTCTGCAACATTATTATCAATTATAGTACCATTTTTAACAAATAATGTAACCAATGGAAATAATCTTTGCTTCATATCTGGTAGTGCAAGTCTATATTATTTCATATTTTTAAGTTTTATTTGTATTGCTTTCGTAGCACACGTATTTACTTTTGTATATATTGCTAAGGTATGTATGTATATATGTATATTATTAAATATGTTATAAATAAAATATTTGGATATTGAAAATTTTCTAAAATTCTATATTTTTTTTTTTTTTTTACAGGTTACATTAAGAGCAAATTGGAGAAGGTCTGATCAAACACAATGTACTTCTAGAACTTCGATTTCTGAAGCACAAAGAGCTATCATACACGTCAAATATGTTATAAACGTACAGTGGCGTGCTTTAATGGGTGCTTTTATGATGTTAATTGTTTATGTGTTTGCTTGGGTAATAAGATAAAATTCTTAAATTTCGTTTATTGGCTCTTTGTTCGTTCATCAGTTCATTCGTTAACTAATTTACAATTTTTTAGATATTTTTCGCATCTGGAACTCCGAGCCTTCGCAATGAAAATGATAATACTGTAAAAGATTGGGTGATTCAATGGATGAATTGTACACAAAACCCATCTTATTATGATTATGAATGTAATTCGATTTCAAAACCTCACGTGCAACCTTACGCGTTGATTATGTTTGCACTGTTTTTCAATGGTTGTATAGGAATATTGATGTTTATAGTTTTTGCAGCAAAGAAATCCATAATATTAGAAGCTTGGAAAATAATAAAAGGCTATAAATCAATAACATGTTCTCATTCTGGTGAGGAAATCGGCTCGATTGGAACTTCGAGTATTAACTTTAGACGTAGCGTTGTATCAGAAAACGTATCTTCGTTCGAAGACGACAAAAAATCAGTCAAGATAACTCTCAAAGAATGGTTTAATAATTTATATAATAAATATTTAAAACGCAATGACTTGGCTTCTAAAAATAAATTTAAAGAGTTAGGGAATTCGATTTCAAATAACAACAACAACAATAATCATGTTGGCGGTCACACTACTATTGTAATTGGTAAAATTAGAGATTTCAGCAACATAACGGGAAGGAAAGGTAGTATTAGTAGTGGTGTTGGTAGTGGTCAAGCATTGGGCTATAATAGTTATAATGACAACGAAGAAAGAGCTTCTCGAAACATTCATAATAATAATGTTAACAACAGCATTAAAAAACCTCATTCTCGTGATAGTTCTTCACGATTGAGTATTAAAAGAAACAGACGTGACAAATCTTCATCTGATTCATTATCATTACACATGTCAAGTATTTATACAAGAGCTTCAATGGTAATCGCACAATCAAATAATAACAACAGTCAAGGTGATAGTAATAACGATGCTAATAATAATGATGATGATAATAATATAATTAGCAATAGTAATAGCGATAATAATAGCGATAGTGATAAAAATATTAATAAACCACATATACAAGCTCCAGAAATGGCAAGGGCATCTTTTGGTTTAGGTAACAACTCTTTGTCGTCAGTTTCCTCCATATCAACATCAAATAGAAGATCTGATGGTAGTGACGATGGCGACACAAATAATTTACCATCATCATCTTCATCAAAACAAGTTTCCAACACCATCACTATACCTGATAATGACGATGATACAAAAGATCTTCAAATTCAAGACGCTGAAAGCACAATGTTAGAATTTCATACTTCGACCAGCACATTCTTAGAATTTCATACTTCAACCAGCACATTCTTAGAATTTCATACTTCAACCAGCTCATTCAATGATAATAACGATATGAAAGATACGGATAATTCTAATGTTAATTTAGTTAGAACAGAAACGTTTGGAAGTGATGAGAAGAAGGAATGATTTTTTTATTGTTTCATCAATCATCCATCAATTACCCATCAATCATACGTAGAAATAATCTATTAGATAAGTTATTATGTATTTTGATAATAATGAAAAAGACATATATATTAAATATAAAAAAAACTAAGACTTCTGAATATGAAACGTGTGGGATGTTCGTTCAGAAGAGGGTTTTTTAAAATTATCTAGCGCAGGTTTATCAGAATACGAATTAGTTTAGTAAAAAAATTTAATTTAATTAATTAACATATAATAATAATTAAAATTACAATAATAATAATAATCATTTAATAAAATATAGTATTATAAATAATATTTAACCAAATATTACGTTATAAGTATTTGAACAAACTCCAACAATTTTCAATGACCAATTTCTAAATAAAATATCATATTGACTACGACGAGCAACATGTGCTCCTTGATACATCTTTCTTGAGACTAACACATCGGTTGAACATCGATTAATGATTTCATACTCATAATCCTTTATACACTTCTCCCAACCTTCTTCATCCCAACTTAATAAAAAATGTGATAATACATTCGCGTCTCCATTGCATTACTTGTGCTCAATGAAAGGGCAGGGTTCATTGCGTGTATAGAATCACCTAGCAATGTAACTCGGTCAATTTTCCACCGTCCTACAGATTTTGGATCAATGTCCCTTAATGGAAATTTACTTGGTGATCGATAATTGCCAAATGAAAATTTTTTTGGTGATGAGCTTTTCGGAATTAAATCAATCAATTCTTTTATGATATCATTAAATTCATAACTTTCACGCTTCTCCGTGATAATTCTTTTCAACCAATCAATCACTTGTTTAGGTTGATTATTTTCATTGTAAAAGTTTTACATTATCATCATTATCATAATCACAATGATCAAGATTATCGTATGATGATGGGTAAGTATACGATAATGAAAGTCGACAACGAATAGTATCATCTTCTTGAGAATATTTTATTTCGTTCGGGACGAGTCTAAACGTTAAAACTAAAGTATCTCCATGATTTCCTACCGATGTTTTAAATATATCGCTTCCTGAAGAAGTTTTGAATAATCTTTCAACACATGATACTCACATATATTTTGTCACCAAATTTGGTAATTTCTGCTTATAGTCACCCCCTCTAAGTGCACCTCCCTTTGGAATGAACAAAACATTTCATCGGTTGCACGTGACACCAATATAGAATAAAAACTTTTGTATAAAAATAAAAATTTATTAATTATAACATCATTATAACTAAAAAAAATTTTATATAATTATTGATTATGTTAAGATTCTATTGTAGTTTGCCTCATTGTATTTATTGTTTTCAAACTAATATATCTATCAAGAGAATTAACCAGTTTTGTTTGTTGACTAGAATAAACAAAATTCATATTTTGAGAATTAGATAATTTATCCACCTCTTACAAAATAATTCTGTCATACTAATAAATTTAATTCTTTGCCTTTTTATTAATAATAAATTTAATAAATTTAATTCTTTATCATCTCTTACAAAAATCAATTCTTTATTCTTTTTTTTTTGTTAACACAAAGAAAAGGTATTTTAATTTAATAACGTCGTACAATTTTTATTGGACAACGTTCATGTGAAAGTCACTGAGTGTACTTAGAGAGTGAGTTTTATATAGATGAGAATGAAAAAAGACCGTGCAGTGTATGGGGAAGGGGTGCGCATTTATCTCTAATTCCCGAGCTTGGGAATGAATGAAAGCGTACACTTAGAGGGGGTTGACTGTACGAACTAAAATTTTAGATAAATCCAACAAAGTCACATTTTTTTAATATATATGTACATATATAAATAAGAAATGCAATCAATTTACCAAGCGAATTAACTCCGTCGCACCCAACTAAAATATCGCCAAATTCTTTTGTGCCATTATCAAAATAAGCCCAAACACCAGTTCATCTATTTCATATTTGACGAATTTTTACTTCACTGTATGTCTACAAATATTTTCTTAGCCTATCTCTAAAGGTTACCATTAATGTATATTTACGATCATTTGTCTCGGAAAATTCGTACAAATTTTTGTATTTTTTAGTAGGAAATGATGTCAACAGTTCTCCACATTGATCTATTATTGAATAATGGTATTTTTCCCCCGAAACCAGATCAGAGAAAACTTCTTTTAACCGACTGGATAAATCTGTTGGAAGGCAATTTAAAAGTGATTTTACACCAAATGGTTTTGTTAAAAATATGATATCCTTGTAAACGATCTACTAAATACAATTATTATGTATTAGTATTAGTGTGTTAATTTATTTAACATGTTAATATGTCACAGTCATTCTCTTTTTTTAATGGGATTATATAAAAGAGGAAATCCCAGCTCAAATTGAGAGGATGGGGTATGAACAAGGAGGATGGTACGTAATTTAAAATTAACCTTTAGGCGCTCGAATATTTTGGCATTGAATTTTATTTTTGCTTTCGGTGAGCAAGTGATAATCCGCCTATTCCGACTCCAATAATTATTACGATAGACATTTCTTAATATTAATATTAATATTTTGTTTAATGTGTGTGAAGTTTATATTTAATTGATTAGTAATTGTATTTCATTCAAAACTAATTCGTTCATTCCCTGAATCGAAATCAACAAAATTTTTTTAACTTTCCAGTCATCGTCTTTGTTATTTCCATATTTATGAGAGATCAAGAGATGTTTCAAATTGACGTGCGCGAAATTCAACATGCAATTATATAAACTTTCAAAAAAAATTAAAACACGCATACCACCAATTCAAACCTTATATCTTATTGTGTCTACGTTAAACACAAGTATTTTTAATGTGTAAACAGGTCATTAGAATGATAATTAATCCTAAAAAACCAATTTACTATTCAACAGTCCGTCAAACTAATGGTCCACCTCAAAACCAATGGGTTTCTGCTAGTATAAAGTATTCAAAACGCTATGATCATAACGTACTGAATTTTGGGGTTCAAACAAAATCAGCGCATATGATCATATTTAAATACTTGGTTTTGACCATATCTTAATAATCACAAGTGATTATTGCTGAATCCGAATTATACATGGAAAAACTACTTGATATTGAATCGAAATATGTTCTAATACAATCTTTGTAATTGTTGTGGCACATTAATTAAAATCTAGACCACTTATTCCCGTTACATATACAATTCGTTGTTGGATCAGTTACTAAACTATAATTATAAATATTTGTCTCGATGTATTTTTATCATGGAAGGAATGAAGGACTAAATATTCGACGTATCCCTAAATTTAATATGATTAGGGAAGTTTTTATCATTACTGCTATTACTATTATTATTACAACCATGATCAACGATAATTTAAGGTGGAATTGTTATTATCTATGGGTAAAGATTATTAATATTACACTTTTAGAAATCCAATTATGATTTTTATTAAGCTTCTGGCTAACCGATTGGACCTTTAAAAACACTTTTGGCTGGAAACCTGCATTAGGCGCATTTTTTGTTTTCTTCAGTTCTATAGATCCAAGTCGAATGCCTCGAAATATGTTACATCATTTTTAATTATATCAGTGCCATTGCTATTAATGCTAGTACCTAAATCAGCTGAATTAATAATGTGACATTAGATGCAATTTGAGGTGCAACGGAGGCTTCCATAAATGTAGAATAATAATAATCTACAGTTTCCATTGTAATAGCACCAGCTACAACTTTGATTATGGATGCAACCATACATAGTTGTGTCATATAAAAATGGTTGCATACAATTGCAGCGGGTATCCTTAATGTATTGACGTGTTTCTCTTTGTTAAAGACTTTTTGAAATTTATTAACACATGTTAACATGTTCTTGTGATATATTAATCTTTTTGTCGTTTTACATATTTTTTTTGAATTAGTAATTCTTCAATCAATGCCCACCAATAAAACAAATAAAAGAGATGGGAAAACTTTGACACTACATCCTTGAAATAAGCCTTCCTTAACACCACCATGTACTTACTTACTATGTTTACTATAGCTACCGATAGATATTTGAAGCCAATCGATGGGTCTTATAAGAATTATTAATCAATGATCGTTTAGGAATACTCTGAATGTAAAAATCTTTCGAAGAAGGGATTTTCAATGAAAGTAAATCTAAAGACAAAGAACTGATGAAAAGGTGGTGTAATAAAAGATAAGTTTACAAGTTGTCCAGGTGCATACCATATGGCATGTATCGTCCTCACTAATAGTGATACGGGAGTCATTCTCTAGCATTTAGAATACTATAGTAACATACGAGCCCATGATGTCTGTCAATTCCTCCGCCTTTCCGCTCATCTTTCTACATATTTATATTTATGAATTTTATATTTCGAATTCTTTTATTCAAATTTATTGCATGTATGAATTTAAATTAACAAGCCTGAGTACAAAATTGGTGGTCATTTATTTCTGTTATTAAATTGAACATGGGGCATGCTTCAATAGTTTGAATTAATTACAACAGTTGGAATCTAATGTAGATCTTCAATTGATACTGACAATGAAATTTATTTGCATGGCATTGTAATTGAATTTTCATTGGTTAGTTTCATTGGAATCATAGATAGACAAAACTGAATTACAGCAATTTTTAGATCTTATCAATAATCTCATACAGAAGTAGGATGATCAGACGGATGTGATAAAATAATGTATGATGGAATTCATCAATGGCTAAAGAATTTTCCCATTCCTTTTAAATCTTTATTCTTATCATCAATGGTTTTCCATAGTGTTGGATGTGATTTGTTATTTCACTACGCCAAGAAATAGATTTCGTTTATCTCATCTTACTCTCACAACAAATTCAATTAGCTATCTATTTTTTCATTTGTTTGTGATATACTGTAGACCAACGTCCATATATTTGACTGTTTTGCGTTTTTCATAATAAATAAAAAAATTGTTATTATTAATGTCCATAAATTATAATTTGTTGTTATCTTTAAGAAATACATTACAAGTATCTCATAACAAGGTTTAGCGTGATCTCTTTTATCCTAGTTTTAAATGTTAAAATCTTCAAGCACAAAATATTATCGTGTTTGTCACCCTTTCTTCATTTGATTTAGACAGATTTCTTTGTTCGTCGCCATCGATATGTGTATATAAGAGTGAATAATTTGATATTTTAGCCAAAATCCTTATTAAAAATTTTATTTATTATTTTCAATGTACATATCAGCTGATTTGGTTTTTTGAGCCTTTTTTAAAACCTTATGTCTTATTGTGTCTCAATGTTAAGCACGAGTATTTTTAATGTGTAAACCGGTCAGTAGAATGATATTTAACCCTAAAAAAATTTATTTGCTCCGCTAAAAAAAACTAATTTACTATTCAACAGCCCGTCAAACCAATGGCACCACCTCAAAAACCAATGGGTTTTTGCTAGTGTAAAGTATTCATAACGTCATGACCATACCGTATTGAATTTTGGGGATCAAACAAAATCAGCGCATATGATTTGATTATTTATAATTTATTTATTAATTTATATTTGTTTGATTATTTATTAAAGTATTTGGTTTTCAACAACATTGCAAATTAAAAAACGATAAAAAATAAAATGTGGAAAATAAAGTATGCATACAATGTTAATTATTTATAGCGAGCGTCTTAATGAACATAAATATAAAAAAACCATTCAGAACAATAAACTACAATTTTAAAATTACTAGTATCAAATATCAAGTATATAAACTATTGTAATCTTTCTTGTAATGTTGTCTAAAAAAATCGCACAAGCCTTATATTTTCTGAAAGCTCTCAACGTATTCTCTCTCTTTGTCATGCTTAATAAAACTGTTTCTCGAAAAAAATTAGTTTTCCAAAATCAAAAGGCGTGTGTTTCTTTAAGAAGCTATTGATCCATAAATAAAACAAGTTATTGGCAAATAAAAAATTGAATTTGAAAAAACAAAAAAATACAATATTGTGTTTACTTGTAGTATAAAACTTTTTTTAATAAGAACCATAGATACGATTCTTTCTTTAAATCTATAGCACAAAAAAGCAATGTGAGCATTCGTGACAATAATCTCTTCAGCAAAGGATACACCAATCCGTGCTGGACCTAAAAGTGCTGTTTTTGCAACTGAAAAAAGCATATCGAACTAGAAAATATGATGAATCCAAACTTCCATTATATGTTCTCGTGTGATGGACAAGTGGGACCGAGTTTGGCAACTTGTGACGTGCATAGCTCTGTGGAATCGGGGCTTTGGTGCTTTAAGTAACGTCCGTCGTAGCTTTATCTATTGGAACTCAGATGATGGCAATCGTTATCTATTATTTACAAGAGGAAACAATAACAATGATAGAGAAGTTAGATGGAGATTAATGGTCTTTGACCCCATTATCTCAACTGTGTAAGTCGGCTCATTATGCGGGTTTGTAGTAGGGAACTCTTGTTTGCGGTTCGCACAATGTTGCTGCTGTCATAAATCCGAGGATCAGTAGATAAATCATTAATTATTAATATTGAAATATTTAAAATATAAACATACTTATTTAGACACAAGCCTTAACTCTACGAATGTATTTTATATACCTATAGAAAGAGAAGTTCGTTATTATTATAGTGTATTTTACTTAGTGTTCGTTGTAGAAAGGTTGCTATAGAAAGTATGATGGATATATAATAAAAAAATTTAATTAATTAATAATAATTAAATGATTAAATAATAAATATAAACATAAATACAAATCAAGGTTGGGTGACAAAAATATTTTGGTGTGTGTAAAAAGTATTTCATCAAATGGGCACATGTGACGAAATGTGACGAAGGTGACAAAATGTGACAAAGAGTAAAAGTCGAAGGTCAAAATTTATGATAAAGATGACAAAAGTATAAACTTAAGCTTTAATTAAAACAAATTTTAAACATTTTTTTTGCATCGTAAGTCATGTTTCACTTAATTTTTATACGTAAAGTTTTAGTAGAAATTGCTGCTTCATATCCATTGCCGGTTTTTTCAAAATCCGTAGAATCATCTGATAATTCTGATCGTTGAATGCTGGTTCATTTACTATTTTAATGAATTGTAACCATACATCAGACACATGACGTTCTGCAGCTAACCCTTGATTATTGTTAAATGAACTTTCATATATATTATCTAAGTTTAATGTTTGCAGATTTATATTATATGATGATGATTGAGAAGGAATTGGTGAATTGGGTGAATTAGAATTTGACATCATGAATTTTTTTTTAAAAATTTACTCCTTGAATTAAAAATGCAATAATCTAAAATCTACAAAATAATTGGTTTATTTTATTGTTTTGTTGTTTTCGTCACTTTCTTCACTTTCATCAAATTCCTCAAAGTGTAGAAATCCTATTTTCGTCACATTTGTTTGCGTCGCCCAACCTTGATACAAATGAGATTGTTTTGAAATTGTTTCCGTTAATAAATGAAAGAATAAAAAAGTTTCGAAGGAAGAATGTATGTACATAGTTATTTTTACGTGATTTTTCATTTGGTTTGGAAATTCATTGGTTTCATGTCTTCGTAAACCATTAATATTTCCACACACATAAACTTAAACTTCTAATTTACAAAGTAAAAAGCATTAAAGACTAAAAATTATATAAATTTCTTCAAAACAAAACTTATTTTTAATGATGTTTTTTTTGTGTAAAAAAAAAATTATTCTCAGAAGAAAAGGATGGCGCATGAGTTAAATATTGAACATTATTTAAAATAAAAAAGAATTTATTGATGTAATAATAAAAAATTCAATATAAAAATAATATTCCATAAAGAAATTAATATTTTCAGTTGCATGTAATAATAATAATAATAGAGTTTTTCCCGGTCCTACTAAAGTAAGGTCATTCATATTTGTTAAAGAAATAAGTGAATATCCAATTTTAAACTTTAGCAATGTGTCACAAAAAACGAATATTAGAATTTAAACTCTATTTAGAAAAAAAGTTTTTTTACCGGGAAAATCCAGATTTTCCTTTTCCGGAATTTATTATATATTTTAGTATGGTTTGCATTATTGTAACTTATTTTTTCCAGTTGAAAATGTTGAAAATATAACAACCAAATTTATCAAGAAAAACCGGTTTTGTTTCGGGTTTTGCAGGAATATACGTATTAAAAATCACCATTACTAGAAATGTTGTGCAACATGTCAATTTTTACTAGTACGCCCACATGAAGTTTTAACCAGAAACGTGATATTTTGTACACGCATTCTTTGAGACTTATTTTATTTCCTTGCAAAATTTTAGAAAAGAATTACTCGTTGAAAGTTATGAGGCATGGACAATGGAAACAAGATTAACTTCTATAATCCACATCTCAAATGTATAATTCCTTAGTAAATAAATTCTTTGCTAATAATCTTTGTTTCTAAGATTAGCATCTCGTGCGAACAATTTCCGAAAGGTTACACCTTTATCCCTCAGTTCGTAGGGATAGAGCCTCAGCCTGGGAAAACATATAAGAGGGATATCCCCCTTATCAATTCACTCAAGATATACGGACCAGGTGATCAGAGATATATCCGTACATTTATTATATTTATCCCTCGCCAGGCTAAAGCTGTATCCCTCTGAACACAGGGATAAAGGTCAGCCCTACCCGTAAATCGTCCGCATGAAATTTTTTTTCTCTGTTATAAAAAACTTTTTCTGAAGGTATACTTCCTAATACGAAAATGATCTTTGAAAATAAAAATTCGGTTATTGTCCTTGTGGTTTTCGTAAAATCTTCCTTAAAAGTTGGTCGTTTGACTATTTTTACTACAGATCGTTAAATTGGCCAATAAGAATTTAAGAGATAATTAATTTTTATATATAGCTTAGACAAGGAAAAAAACGGGTTATTTACATCATTTTTAACTAAAAAAAAACTGCAACTATAGTCGTTGAGGACAATCCTGACAGAGCTTTCAAATCAAACATAACATCAATGACATCATTATCTAACAAGATAATAGGTGGTATCGAAAGAATAGTCAATGGTAAATAATTAAAGAAATAAAATAAATTCATTGTGGAAACTTGAGGAGATAATGATTTGACTGACGTCGAAGGTGAAATTAATCGTTGAAAGAAAATGATGGAGGCCTGAAATAATAGTGATAATAATAATAATAATGACATTAACGATAATCTATCATCATCAATTAAACGTGGTTGTAGAAGGCCCAAAAAAGACCAGAATCTAAATAGTAAAAAAACAAAAACAACATTAATAGTGATAACAGCGATAAAAAAGTTGACATTAATGTTAATTCATTGCCATTGGTTAAAGATCAAGATCTAAATGGTAAAAGTGTAGAAACCATTCCTGGTACTGATAAATCTGATGCAATTAATAATGTTTATTTACCATAATCAGCTAATCATGGTCATGGAAGATCAAAAAAAAAAAAAGATTTTAAATGGTAAAGGTGTTGGAATCAATCCTAGTATTGATAAAACAACAATAACAGTAATGATAATGCTTATTTAAAATCATCAGTTAAATATGGCCATGGAAGGTCTAAAAAAGGTCAGTTTCTAAATGATGAAGATGTTAAAATCAATTCTAGTACTGATGAATTTGATGCAAACGTCATAGTAATAATGTTAATGTAAATGGTGATTATGTTAACGGTAATAATAATTCATCGTCATTGGTTAAACGTGGTTGTGGAAGACCTATAAAAATAATCAATCACATCAATATAATAATAAAAAAGCTGGACATGGTTAGACCAAAAAATCGTAAAGAATCCAAACATTATAATAATATCATTAAATGTGACAGGGGCAGGTCAAGTAAAACTGATTACGCATCACAAAATCATAATGAATTGGTTACAACTTCAGAAACTACAAATAAAAATAAAAATATTGATTTTTCAGATAAAGTTGAAATTCCAGTAAAACATAGTCGTGGTAAGCCAAAGGAAATTGATGAAGAAAACACTAACCTTGTTGCTGAAAATTCCAAGAAATACAAGTTGAGTGATAATGATAATACAGATGACATAACAAAAAGATCTAGGGAAAATAACCACTAATAATAATAATAATAATAATAATAATAATAATAATAATAATAATAATCACTAATAATAATAAAACAAATTGTTTTAATGAAATATCGTTGATTATAAGAAATAATTAGAGATTCAAATTAAAAAAGATTTTTAAAAAGAAAACTTAATATTAATGGGGGGTTGGTGGGTTGAAAGCTTACAAAAAAATTAATTTATTATTATCATCATTATTATTATTATTATAACTTTTTCTTTTTTATTTGTATATGAAATCAAAATTTATGATCTTTAATAATATTATTAAAAGATATTTATTGCTTTTTTTTTACCATTATTATTGGTGTGATTTTTTCTGCCTGCCGACGTTTTTTGGGATTCTTCATTCTCATCATCTTTGTCATCATCATCTTTAGATTTGGACTTTTTTTCGTTCCATTCTTTTATCAAGTCATTAGTACAATTTCTAGCTGGTTCCTATTCATCATCATCATCATCATCATCATCATCATCATCAATATTAACAATATTATTAACAATATTATTAACAATATTATTAACAATATTAAATAAAAAAACATTATTTACCCAAGATGGTTCCCAAGGTTTTCCATTTTCATCTTTACCTAACCAATTGACTAAATAATAAATTTTTCCATCTTCCTCTTTTTCATCTAAAAGGCACTCTGCTGACCAAAAGCCCATATTTGTTTATTATAAAAAAAAATCAATAATGTGTGGAAAATATATCTGTTTCCGTAAATATATATAAAATATTTAAAATTGATGATGGATAGTGTGTAACAAAAATACCGTGATTGGCTGACTAATAATTATTTCCAAATTTGGTAATTTTCCACAAACATCGCGTTTTGTAAAGGTTTTAGGCTACCCTTAAAAATTAACACGTAAAATTTTATTGGTCAGGTAAAATAGGACCCGAACAAATCTTGGGAGATGGCACATTTGAGAAAATACCCACTTTGTTGTCATTTTTGGAAATTATTTTTTGCGATCGACATCGAATTTATCTTAATTAAGGAATGATATTCAAATTTTCTACCCAAAATTGACCAGTACTAAGGTCCTGGTAAAATCATGTGAGCGACATACTGGTTTCACAAACTTTTTAGAATTCCTTTAGAAGTAAAGTTCATCAATTCAAAATTAATCAAATGTTTGAAATTGAGGAAATAATTGGTAAGTATAATTACAAATAATTTGAAATATTTCAAAGTACAATCCAAACTTTTCATTGGGTAAGTGGAAGTGTTGCCCACACACTCCACTTTATTGAAAAAAATTTTTTATGGGATTAATTTTAATTTGTCTTTCATCAAAATGTTAATCTTATTTACAATGTTACAGATTCGTTGTTTGAAGAATATAGCTCAACATATCTGAAAACTCAATCAGAAGAAAATTTTTTAGATGCACCTCAAAATTATGAGAAATTAATTAGTAAAGTGTTAGTAAATCATTTATTTATTTTTTATCATCATTATATTACTATATTTTTTATTATTATATATGTTTACATTTATATTCAAATATTTAAGATATCAAAGAATTTACGATTATGAAACTTCGAAAGTAGCATCTATTTTAGAAGTTGAACGAAATACATGGTGTTTACTTCATGAATTAGAAGCGTTTGTATTAATAAAATTATGAATCAATTCTGTAAATCTGAAGATTTTTTGATAAATGTATGCATACATAAATAGACTTCGTTTAACAGAGAAAGAAAAAACCAAAATAACTGAAGATCCATTTAAGACAGATAAGAAACGTCTCGATGAACTTTTTATAATAGATGATGAATTTTCAGAAGCTTGGGTGCGTTTTTTTTATGTGCTGTGTTCAAACAAATACGATAGATTAATTATTTAACATTTTTTATTTTATTTTGTATAGGTTGTACGTCAGTGGTTACAGAGTACTGCACCATCATTTAATCAAGTTGAAACTTTTACTGAATTTTTTCAAGACACTCTTATAGAAAATAACACAATTAATGATAAATCAAAATCAAAATCAAAAAACATTGAAGCAAGAAATGAAGAGATTCTTAAAGAAAATGATCATATCCCTGATTTTAAATTGGTGTCGCTACTTGGTCTTTTTGAATTTAATGGCAAATTACATCCAAATGATGAAGTAATACTTTTTTTTATGATAATTTTTAAAATTATAGTTTAAAGTTTTCTATATTTATATCTATAATTTAAATCTTAATAGGTTTATAATAGGGAACTTTATAAATCAATATTTGAATATTTACGTAGAGGAGAATATGAAACTGCTTGTGATTTGTGTAATAAAGCTAGTCAGCCATGGTTGGCTGCATGCATAAGTGGATTTTTTTTATATGATGAAAAAGGTGGGGGTTTTTTTTTAAAATAAAAAGAAAATCTTATTCAAAAAAAATTAATATTTATTTAATATCTATTTATGCATAAAAAATAAAATAAATAAAAAGATTCGGATTTTATCAATTTTGATGAAGAAACATTTGGCAATTTCAATAGAGAGATATGGCGAGTAGCATGCTATAAAGCAGCTAAAGAGGTTAATGTAATTTATTTATGAAATAGAATATATAACAAATAAATATACATACACTTTGTATATATTGAACTATATTATAGATGGTATTTGCACTTAATTTTTAATCTAAAATTTTTTATTAATTTAAGACACATCGAGACAAATATAATCGTGCAATTTTTTCTACACTTTGTGGTGATGCGGAAAATGTATGTTATTTAACAATAATTAGGTATTATTATTATTGTTGATTTTGGTGTTTGAAAGATATTTAATTTAATAATTTGAATGTTAATAGGTTCTTCTTGCTTGTAATTCTTGGGAAGATTATCTTTGGGCATATTATAACGAATTAGTTGAAAGTAAACTAGAACAGGTTTGTAATTATTTAAATATTTATTATTTAAATATTAATTAAATTAATTAATTGATACATGTACCTATCTGTTTCAAAGTATTTTTATGGAAGTATTCGTCAAAATAAGATTATAATTGATGACTTTAGAATTTCATCCAAAGTATTAAATTTATCACCAACGGATATATTTATTAAAGTAAAATCTCATGAATCTAACAAGTAAATAAATATATATATAATATGTATATATAATAAAAAACCATAAAAAACATTTATTGATTATAATATTTAATTATAAATTTAGGGATCCAGCTAATAAGGCTTTTCATGAAATTCAAACATACATAATTTTGAATGATAAAGATGGAGTGATTAGATTTGTAAATCAAACCCTATTTAATAAATACAATCTTCGTAATGATGAGTAAGTTATACTTGATTTTACAATATATACACTTTTTAGGCGTACAATTATTAATTAATATTTTTATTTTTGATAGTTCGCTTCTTTATTCACACATTCTTCAATTTGCGGCACATTATGTATTATATTTATTTGATTTAATGGATTCAGTAGATAATGATGCTTACGAGATTCTTAAATTATATGTAGATTATTTAATAGAACAAAAGAAGGTAATTATAATTGACAAAAAAAAATCATAATATTTAATTAAAATCATTACTGATTTTTTTTTAATTTCTATATAGGATTTATTAGTTCCAATATATGCATCCAAATTGCCAAGACAATTATCAATTGAAGCATATGCTAAATTATTAAAAAGTAATTGAACTATTTGATATTTACTAGTTTATTTTGATATGATTTTACTTTATTAATTGTTTATTTATTCAGGTATTATAATGGAATATTATGAAAGTAGGTATAAAATATTTAAATTGGGTAATGAGTATGGACTTGATATGTTTGAAATTGCACAAAAAGTTTTTGGAACGATATATGAAGAAGTTAAGGTAGATTATTTGATTATATAAATATGATCTATCATATATAATTATATAATACAATAAATATAATCTTGATAATATAATAAAATATTTTTTGATAGGACAATTACAATCAAATGTCATCAATAATAATATTATCACCTAATATATCTATTGATCCACTTGATAAAATTCAAATTGATGGATTAGAATATATGACTTTTAATTCCAACCATATTATGGAAACATTGGAATATGCCAACACTTTGTCCAGAAGATTTCTGTGTTTGTTTTATTTTATACATATTAAAAAATTTATTATATACCTTATTTATTATATATATTATTGGTATTAATCATATTATATTATTATATTATAGTATGTGGAAAATTAAATGCAATTCAAATGTTAATAGTGAGCTTGGGTAAAGATAATTCAAATTTAGCGAATTATAAAATGTCAGATTCAGATATAGAATTGGAGCATTTATTTTATGTTAAAATTGTTGACTTTTTTGTAAAGCATGTTGAATGGTTGGATATTTGGAAAAAAAAAATTCAAAAGTAAGGAAGGAATTATTTTAAATTTTCATTAGAATAAATTTTGTATGAAATAAATCATATTTTGTATATATTTTTTTTTTCCTAAAAAAAGTGCCAAATTTGATTCATATCAAACTGAAGACTGGAACGAATCTATCAAAGTAAATTTTTTTTCTCTTTTAATTTGATTTGATTATATTAATATATATTAATTTTTTTTAAATTATTTTAAAGGAAAATTGTGAAAACTTGGAAAGATCATTTGATGAACTTATAATTTTATATTATAATCCACAAGATAATGATATAGACGAATATACATTAACCACAGATAAACGTTAGGGACATTCAACTTATAATGATATGTTATTTTATTTTAATATTTTTTATTTTAATATTTTATTTATTTATTATAGATGAAGCTTCAACGAAGGAAATTACATCTATTTTAGATATTTATATTCCAGAAGTAATTATTCGAATGTATGATGTTTTTTATAAATCACGTGAAATTATTCCAGAGTAAGTATTATCATGGATATTAATTAATTAATTAACTATGTTATATAATGTTAATGCTAATATATTATATTATTATATTAAATAGTAATTTATATAAAAGTTATCGTCTTGCAGACCTAGTGGTTGATGACGAACACAAACTTTACACACATTTCAAGAATTCAAATAAATTGAATTTATTTTTAAAAAATATAAGGATTTCATTTATTGAAATAATGAGAATAAATCCACATGTAATTGACAAATCATAATAGACTTAATAAAAAAAACAGAACATTTTTTTTACTTATAAATTTTTTCTTTTGTACAATAAAAATTCATATTCAATCCCATTTTCTTCTTGCCTGCCTTTTGGTACTTTTTCATTAACAAAACTCTCCAATTCATCATGAGAAGCTAATCCAAAAACATTTTCATCAATTGTTGGAAAAAAGGTATCGCATTCAAAATTTTGATAAACCCTTGTAATTAAAATATGTGAAAAGTTTTTTGATTCCATTGCTTCTTTATAAGCATATGAACCTCCAATAACAAAAATATTTGAAATGCTGGGATCATTTTTAAGATTTTCAATGGCTGCATCTAAAGTTGGATAAACAAAATGCGTTGTAGAACTAGAAATTTTTTTTAATTTATTATTATAATGATGATGATGATGATGATGATGATGATGATAATGTAAATCTAAAAAAAATTTATACCCTGAATTATCTATAGTTTTTGATAGTACAATGTTTAAACGATCTTTTAATGGTTTATATTTTGGTGGAATAGCTTCCCAAGTTTTACGACCCATTACAACAGCATTTTGAAAAATCGAGTTATCATTTTCAAAGTTAATATCATTGCTATCATTGTTCAATGAAATTTTTTTTGTTATTCTTTCAAAATATTTCATATCTTTGGAAAGTTTCCATGGCAATTGATCCTTGATACCAATTCCCATATTATCGGCCACAGCTGATACAAAACAAAGTGAATAAATGAAATGAAAATGATGCTAGATTCAATATTCAACGTTACATTTATATGTGTGTATGTATGCTATATAAATTTTAATTTTGTTACCCGCAATTAATGCAAAATTTTTTGATCGCATTTTTGTTTGATAGTAATAGATTATTATTTTTATTTTTTTAACGAAATTTTTTAATCGCTGATCCGTGAAAATTTGCCATATATGTATGTGTGTATATTGATAATAATAAAGATTAATAATTTTTTTAATATTTCAGTATATATAAATAGCAATTTAATTAACACCTTGATTTTGTTTATTTAATACTCTATCTTTTCTTTTCTAACAAAAGCAAGATTTTAGTCTCCACCAGTGGCTGCTTCATCATCTTCATTCATTATTATCACCTGGTGTGCTTTCAACATCATGGCATGTCAAAACTGTTATTATCAGCTTCATTTATCTCATCTCATCTGACTTTTCATTATGCTCGATCCCTCTAATACAAAATTACATATTGGCACAGCAAACATATTGTAATTAACAAAAAATTAATTTTAACGAAGAAAATTATAATAACTATCAATAATACAATATAATAACGTATACATGATATGAATAAAATTTATGATAAAAAAAATAGTAGATTTTAATAATTTAAAAGGTTCTAACTAATTGATTTTTCGTATTTTTCAAATACGTTGATTTCGTCAACATGCAGGTGAATTGCAGTAATTCTACAAGTCGCCCCGTAGTCAACAACACTATCCAATTTATCCAAAAATCGAGACCCAAGCTTAGCAGACAGATTAAAGATACCATAACCTGAAAATGCTGCAATTAGAACACCCAAATTTCTGAATAATTAATTAATAAAATGGGATAAAATTCGGATAAATTGTTGAATAAATTTAATTAATAACCAGAGTGATAACAAGTAGCGACAATCAGCATTCTTATGATAAACATTTACCCAGAAATCTCACCATATTTGTCCCCTTTTCTTTTGGATTTCTTTGGCATGTTGAAAAAAGAATTAGAACACCAACATCTCACGGTTTGTATAATCGAGGTTATGGTGCCCATTTACTTTTATCATTTTATCAGTAAAAAGAAGATCCTTCCAAAACATGTCACATGTTTCAAAAACATTTTCATCGTTTATTGGTGGTGGTCCAGTTCCAAAACTTTTTTCCATACCAAATTGATCCTCCTGACAGTTGCATGGAAAGTATTTCTTGTTGCATCAATATGTTTCCAGAAAAAAAATGACGAATCCATAAAATCAATATTATCAATCACAGCAACATTCCATATTGAAAGGTGACTTGTGGTTGACGAGGTTGACGACAGTTTGTGGGGATGGAGGTCTAATTTTTTTGTGGGATCTGCTGCGAGCATTCTTTCAGTTTCACAACGAAGCTCATGTCTTGATGTATGAGGAACTACACCAATAGTGTGAAAAACTTGACGTAAGATGCTTAATAAATCTGTGTATATAAATAAACCTTTATTATTTTTTTTGTAAATAATAATTTTTTGTTGGTTTAAGTTACGCAAAATTCAGGTTTTATTTTGTAGATCATTTCTTCACTTTTTTACCAATATTTTCACTCTAATGTTATAGATTAATAATAATAATAATAATATTATTATTATTATTATGTAAAATAGAGGGTTCCGGAACCTGGTTTTCCATCCATACCTCCAAACTGCTCATTATAAAGTATTAAAATATGAGTTGGCAAAGATGATTTCATTTTAACATTGTTGAATAAATCATCAACTATGTCATTTCCAGATGTCCAAGTACTGAAAAGGCTTTGTAATTGTAGACTAATACAACCAACTTTCACGGAACTTATTAGAGGATCTTGTTAGTTTGCAGTTGTTACATTCTTTTGGTTGGCCCGATTCATCACTTGCATTTCCTAATTCAGTATCATGAGTGAACTCTTCTTTACAAAATCCTTTTTCATTTTCAGAAAACTTCTTATCGGAAGAAAGTCAATCCAAGTTTAAATCGTAATTGTTTCATTGAACCAACCAGTAGACCAAATATTTCTCTATTTCTCCTCATAAGTAACGATATTTTAGGTCTGGTAGACTTGTATTCAAACCCTCATCTTTTTTCTCAGGATTGGTTTTTGAATGAGCTCACCTAGATTTAAACCCATGGAATATATTTCATCTGTCACTACAGAAGCCACAAAAGTATTAAGGTAGTCGGGATCGCTGCCAATGATCTTATATATGACACATAAAGATTTTCTTTTTTGGAGTTACGATATTTTTGAGTAACAAATTCAAATATTTGACTTCCATATATAGATACTACAAAACCAGGGCTGAACTCGTCATCAAAAAAAAAAAAACTACATAAAGCTAATTGTTAAAGATGCTTATTTTTACATATCGTTGTTTTCGTTGAAATTAAACATAACAACGAAAACAATAATTTATTCGAAAAAATTATCCTTGAACGTAAAAATTTTATTGACTTTATACACCAATCTCAATTCTGATACCACAACTGCTGATACAAAGGATAACAGGAAGCAAATCTATAAATAAGAAAATCTTTGTGTAATAATAATTCTTATGGTGGGCGTTGGATATTGGTCATTCTAAATTGTTAAACGACCCGTTTGAAGAATGAAAGCGGAGTTCAACTAATCAAAAAAATTTTCCATATATTTTCTTTCAAAATAAAAATGCATCTTTTTTCTTCTTTCATTATTTCACGAAAAAAAAAATGAAAAAATCAAAATGCGTTCGAATTGTCATTAGTGCCTGAGTTTGACTTTTTTCAAATTTTGGCTTTAACTATGTGTAATAGTAATAATACACAACAATAAAATAAAAACATGCTTTAATGTCTGAGTTTGAGGCAACATAGATTGATCAATATTAGTAGTACGTAGAACATCCTTTACCATAGCACATAAGACAAGTTTTGGTATAAATTTTGTAAATTTTAATTTTGAAGATTTAAGTGATAAAATAGAAAACAAAAGAATGCTGGAATTTTTTTATTGTTGAATCACGATAGGTCAACCAACAGAGTTTGGTGATGAGATTGTTCTTTAAATAATGCAATTTTCATTTTTATCAATTAATATTGTTAGAGAAAAATTTACTGTTTGTCAAAAAAAAACCATTATAACAAAGTTACACGCCATTCAATTTCCCACAAAGGAAAACAAGTTTTTAAACGAAAACGTGACAGCGAGCTTCGTGTCTTTTACTCACACAACGACATCACTCAGGTCAAGACAATAATAGTCTATTTTATCAATTCAAAAAAATACAAATAGAACGGCCGTTCCCAGATTTTTTTTTCCGTTTTTTTTTGTAGAGAAATTCCTCTCAGGCCATTTCAGCGCACGGAACTCAACTTTCTACGACGTTCCTGTCCATCTTCAAGCAATCAAGTTACAGACGATGAGCACATTCAGACCACAAAATCATTTATCATCACACAACGTTATACAAGATGGTCAAAAAATAAAAATACCATTGCGCCAAGTGTTTCATAGCATCACAATAACAAAAATACACGATTCAATTGATTCAATTTAACCCACGCAATTGTTGATCGACCAATCAAAATCGTGAATTTGATAACGTAAAAATAAACGTTAACATAAAA